ACGGTGATTGCTCTATCGTACTTAGATGTCATTGAGAAGGATGAGTAAGGGCCTTGTCAAATGTCCCTCAAAAATCAAAAACAATAAAAAAAAAATTTTGAGCAATATATTTTTTAAAACTATGTATTTAAGTCTTAATGTAATAAATAAATAATTGCATTATACCCACTTTTTTAAATGGCTAATCGGACGGTCAAAGATGCGCATACTATACATGGCACCAATCCTCAATATCTCGTCGAGAAAATAATTAGGAGTCGTATTTATGAGTCTAAATACTGGAAAGAACATTGTTTTGCAATAACAAGCGAACTTTTGGTTGACAAAGCAGTTGAACTTCGATATGTAGGAGGTGTCTACGGTGGGAACGTTAGACCAACTCCATTCCTATGTCTGTCCTTGAAAATGTTGCAGATCCAACCAGATAAGGACATTGTTATAGAATTTATCAAGCAAGAAAACTACAAGTAAGCATTTGGTTGAACTAATTGGATGGCTAGATATGCTAGAGCTCTTGGAGCATTTTACTTAAGACTCGTTGGGGAGTCAATAGAAATATATAAATACCTGGAAACTCTATACAATGACTTTCGGAAGCTTAAATTTCAAGATCGACAAGGAAGTAAGGTGTTTTGTTTATTATTTAGAATTCTCCCTTATTTATATGGATGAATTTATCGATCAACTTTTGAACGAGGAACGGGCTTGTGATGTCATTTTACCTAGACTTCAAAAGAGATCAGTCCTTGAGGAAACGAACCTACTTGATCCCAGACAATCCCTTCTTGACGAAGATCTAGAGGATCTGCAATTTGCTGAAGAGATTGATGCTCTTTCTGAAACTGACGACAGACCTATTCCCAGAGAACGGGATAAGAAGCGAGTGCGTGATCATGACTCTCCTGATAGGCATCGTGATAGGGAACGTGATCGAGATAGACGCCGACATAGATTGCGAGAGGAGAGCCCCCTATCAATTAAGCGGGATAGAAGGGATCGAGAAGATCGCGATTATGCGCGTGAACGACATCGGGATCGCGATGACAAAGAACGGGAAAGAAGACATGAAAAAGAACGAAGGTAAATTATAGCTTGTCTCGTACTTATTATAGATTGGTTCGATTCACTCTTAATATTATTGTAAATAAATTTATATATTCCCTACTAGTATCCATTTTATTAGTACGCAATTACATCTACTTATGTCTTATGAAGGACTGCCTTTGATGTTCAGATTATTTCATTGTACTAGGTCGGATATTTCCAGTTCAGGCACTATCTCATTCGTACTTACTGTCACGTTAAATCCACATACTGAAACGTTTTTATTTAGCTCTTTGAGATCTTAAAAACCTTAATTTTTGGCCTATTTATTTGGGTATTCGCATTATTCTACTCGCGCCTATCTACTATGCATCACTATTTATTTACTACTCCATGTACTTAGATGTCACCTTATCTTCTTCGAGGCAGTTTACACGCTTTTGTTAGCGGCTTTAAGTTCTGCATTACCCAGTATAATCAAAGCATCTACGTAAGTAGTTCCTCTCGATAGGTCAAATGATATATTTACGCAATAGTTTAGCATTTTTTGGTAAAATAGGCAATATCCATATATCAAAAGAACTGAATATTGGCCAATCGCTAATTAATAACTAGATAAATTGAGATCAATCTAGCCTTATCTTACAAGTATTTCGTCTAATGAGATGTCTGTATAGATGCCTCTGGGCAATAATATCTAAGCACATTCATACGATAAAGATTAATCTTTCTCATTAAACATGTTTTTATAACATCTAGGATTCAAATCAAATTTTACGAATGAATGCAGGGCGAACAGCATACCGACTTAACCTAACCACACTAGCAGACGATATGAGTTTGTCCGAG